CATCGTTGCAAATGGCAAGATCTCATTCCTTTTGATGGCTGCATAATATTCCATTGTAAATATATACCACATCTTCTTTATCCATTCATCTGTCGATGGGCATCTTGGCTCTTTCCACAGTTTGGCTATTGTGGACATTGCTGCTATAAACATTGGGGTGCACGTACCCCTTCGGATCCCTACATTTGGGGTAAATACCCAGTAGTCTTTGCTCAAATTTCTTATTAAAATATGTATTTGAACAGTAAAAAACCTTCACAGTTCAAAGCACTGCATGATGGAAATGTAACGTGAGCCAAGTATGTCATTTTAAGCATTCTAGTACCACTTCAAAAATAGGAGTGAAAGAAGCAGGTGAGATTCAGGTTTTTGTGCTAAAATAGACATAACATAGAGTCTAGCATTTTAACCATTTTTGAATGTACGGTCCAGTGGTATTAAGCGCAATTGTAACCACCATCACTGTCCGTCTCCAGAACGTTCCATCCCCCCCTCGGTGTCCCCGTGGCACACTGACACCCACCTGCTCCCCTAGCCCCGCATCTGCTTTCTGTCTCTGTAGAGAAGTTTATTTTAATGATATATTTTATTTAGGGGCACCTGGGGGCTCAGTCGCTTAAGCATCCAGCTCTAGATTTCAGCTCAGGTCTTCGTCTCAGGGTCGTGGGTTCCAGTCCCCCGCCCCCCGGGCTCCACGCTGGGCTTGGAGCCTACTTAAAAATAATAGTATCAATAATATATTTTGTTTGACTCAGTATATCGAAAACACTGTCATTTGCCCTTTGAGCATATTACCGGTATAGAAAACAGCAGATAAGAGACCCTGTTTTCTGGAAACTGCGTCTTTGGCGTTGGCGCACACACTCATGTAGCACTTGTCCGCGGGCAGTTTTCCTGCACCCAACGATGGCTACATGTTGCTGGCGGCTGCCCCTCTGGACAGCGCAGCTCCGCATGACGTGCTGCTGTGCTCTTGGACCACGGGTTTTTGCAGACCTGGGGGCAGCCTCCTCCTGGGCCCTCGGATCCGATCTGTGTGAGCATGGATTCCCCTGAGCCGGTGAGAACAAAGCAAATGTGGGAATCAGCTGCTTGTGTGCGGCCTTCATCTGCAGCCCTGGACATGCTCTGTCTTTGTCAGAGAGGCCTCAGCATCCTCCTCAATTGCTTCTGTTAAAGTTACATGAGCCCGTAGGGGACGTACGTGTAAATAACAGTTATCCTTCTAAATCCATTAGAGATATGCCAACATTCTTCACTTCAGCATCCTGTGGCTTAGCAGGTGAAGGTCCTGGTTTGAGGCCTTAGCACGTGAAGGTCCTGGTTTGAGGCCTGAGCGCCCCGGAGGAAAGGGGGCCCAGGTGCCCGACACCGGTGGGAACCTGGCCTGTTGGGCTGGGCTTGGGAAGCACAGGGAGAAAGACTAGGGGGAAGACTCTGGGCAGAGCAGAGGTGGGTGTCGAGGGACCCACTTTAGGGAGTCAGAACTGGGATTGGGGCCTGGAGCCTCTCTGTTACCTCTCGCCACGTAACAAATTCCTCAAATTTGGCAACCCCAACCATCACGCGCCTACCGTGTGGCCATGTCTGCGTGTGGGGCAGGCGTGGGGATCAGCCCAGCTTAGCTGGGCGGTTCTGGCCTGGGTCCCTTTGCAGGGTAGAGGCCAGGGGGCTGGGTCTGCGTCCCCTGGGGCCGCCTCCCAGGGCAGTCCCGCCGTGGGCAGGAGGCCTCAGTTCTGACACGGGACGGCTCCTGGTGCCGCCTCGTCTTCCCCACCATGTGGTGACATGGCGTCTGGCTTCCCCCAGCAAGTGGCCCGAGGGGGCAGTGCCTCTTAGGACCTCATCCTGGAAGTCGCTTTGAACCACAGCTGTTCACTAGAAACGGTCACACTTGCAGGGAAGCAGGATGTCACAGGACCTGTGGGTGGCCCCGAGGTCAGGGTTCTCACCGATGGGTCACCCTGGCCACTGCCAGGGCTGTTGGTGGCCAGATGCCACATGAGAAGTGAGCCCTGGGCACCTCTGACGCCATGGCACGGTGGGTGTCCAAACCACCACAGGCAGAGCGGCCACGTTGCACTCTGAGGTCCCGTTTTACAGATGAGAAGCTGGAGGCTGAAGACGGTGGCCCCTGCCCACCAGCCCTCCCCTACCCCTGTCTGCAAGGCTGGGCCTGGCCGGCAGTGCCGCCCAGCATCCTCCCACCGTCCTCAGAGACTGGGTCCCGGCGTGGGTGTGGGGCCACATGGAGCCACAGAAGGAAGGCAGATGCGTTGAGCCCCAGGTCTGGCATTTTGTTACAGCGGCTGGAGGCAGCTCATACAGAGGCCTAGCTGGGATTGGAGCCGAGCTCTGTGCCCATCTTGGAGGCTGGGGTCCACCACCAGCCATGCTGCTTCAAACTCAGGCCCTCTCCCAGGAAGTCCCGGGCCTCAGAGGGTGGGCTCTGGTCCCTGCTGCCCACTGTGGGGCCATGGGCCAGAGTAGCATCTTCCCCAGCTGGGCCCTGGGCCTGTTCCCTCTGGCGCCAGGCGGGCACAGACCCGGTCTTGTAGGGCTTGTGAAAGCGTACTTTTGTGTGCCTGAGACAACAAGCCGGGTGATTGTTCCTGCCCCATCGCGGCCCCCAGGGCGGTGCCAGGGGCGCAGTACGGAATAACTGCCGGGAACGGGTCCGCGCTGGAGGGGCCTGCGGATTGTGGCCACGTAGACTGAGCCATGCACCCCCGGACCCCCAGCCGCCGGGGCCATGCCTGCCTCTGTCCCTGGTGGCCCCGTGCCTCTCGGCTGCCCTGGGGGCTGACGTGGACACCACAGTCCTGAGGCGGCTTCCGGAAGCGGTCAGGGCGTGATTGGGCAGGCCTGCAGGGTGAACCCCATGAGCACAGGTGCCCGGGGCCTCACAGGGCTGGGCACTCAGTTGGCCCCGATAAACATTTGAATAAATACATAAAAGCAAAC